GACAGGGGGAGGGCAGCAAGAGAAAGTGAACAGGATTAAAGCACAATATGTACATGCACGGAAACATCCCAGAGAAACGCATGACTTTGTATAATTAATATCCAGTATTATAACTTAACTGTGGCTGTAAACAATCAAAATACATTTTCTTTTTAACCAGGGTTTTTACATGGTTAATTCTGCTGCTTGGGAGAAAAACTATAATGTTTAGTTAGGATATTTTTATTTAAGTCAGTTTTCAAGAAGCTTTAGGGAAAGACTGCACCTTTGGAAGATGACAAACATGCACATTCCCGCATTGGAAAAGGGATGGCACTTGCTAAGGTATAGGCTAAAAGTTTTCTTACATAGAGACCTGCTTTTCTGAGCATCAGGAGTAGCATTTCAACTATCAGCACAAACATGATTCACAAGCAGCACTCCAGGCACATTTAAGAATGAGCATTTATAATATGTTGACTACCTCAATAATGCTGTTAACTGAAGTTTTTCACTTAAAATACATTGTTTTAAAAGGAGTAAGAGTGCTCAATATGGCATGTGTGTAGCCTTTAAGGAACAGGTAGGTGTGGATTGCAAGGGATCATTATTTCTTGACAGCTGAAGTCATGCAAGTGGAAAGAAAGTTGGGGAGAGAGTGCTTGGGCCTTGTCTGAGCTACTGCACTGTGACTACCGGACCTTGGGAACTGTCATGGCTCAGCTCAGGCAGCTTTAACCCAAAACTGTCTTTGAGCTATTTGGGCCTCGAGAGTCTTCCTGCTGGCACGGAGTGGAGAGTTTCAGGACTTCCTGCTGAAGAACACAGCCCAGGATGGCCCTAGCTGCCTGGCTTGCACACCCAACCCACTGCTTGTCCCTCCAACCCATGCACAGTGCAGGACCTAGGGCACTGGACACAACACAGTATAGAAAGAGAACATCTTTAGAGAAAAAATATCCTCCTTTGAAGGTCTCTCACCAAGTTAATAAAATATTCCTTTTTATAATAAAACAAAATCGAGGAGGGAAAAACTGGCATTCTTTACTATTTAAAATAAATGAATCTGTTAATAGCTTCAAGTCATATTTTAAAGAGGCTTTTCTTAAGTCTCTATTTATAGTGGTGATAGCTGTGAAAGCAATTAGCTACATTATAAGCTGTTAGGCAGTGGAACTGGCTTTACTAATTACATTCTCATTAACACCACTTTATCTCACTGCTCTAGCTGGGAGTGTCTCAAACATCCCTGTGGCTGGCAGGCAGGTGGGAGTCTTCTATCTCACACTGCTTAATTGGTCACGTCAAGTTGCTAATTTCTTATCAGGGATGCCACACAAAGGCAAAAAGGTGAGAGCCTCCCATAAAACATAAAAGTAAAACTGTACATTTAACCAAAGCTTTGCAATTTAGCTGTACTTGGAGAGAGGAACACCAATAAAAATTGGGTATTACATATTTCATTAATGACGCAGGGCCATTGTTCTAGTCTTTATTTTTCTACCTTTAACATGGAATTAGTAACATAAGCTTCAAAGAACTGCTGTGAACACTAAAACATAGGTACATTCACAATGGGGCTGAAATTCGTGTCTTGCTGCCAGGCAGGTTGAACCACGCTGATGGTAGATGAATGACTGTCCCATTGAGTGGCTTTTTATTAATTAGTAAAAAACACCAATAAAAGTGATTAGATCTGTTTCTACCACCAGTGGTACAAGCTGCCCAATGGGACAGTCATGCATGTACCACTGGTGGCTCAAGCAAGCAGGAACTCATTAAAGGAAATGACAGAGGTTCAGTGAACAAGGATCTGAAAAGTGCTTAAGTGATAGACGCTGCTAGACATGCCTGACCGCCTCAAGACTGAAAGCACCCTTAGGAAGGTCTCTGGTTTGTAGTTGCATCTGTGTACAGCCCATCTATGGGCTGATGGTGATTAAGTGTCAGTCTTTGCCTTCTGTCTTTGAGGAAGTCTGAACTGCGCTGGAAGGCTCAGGGTGGAGAGCTTCTGGTCTCCTGTGAGGGTCTTTAGTTCAGAACCCCACCTGGCTGATCTAAGCACAGCTGGTCACCACCACCACATCTCAAGGAGCTCGGAATGGGGAGTAGAACGGCAACAAGGTCACTGGTTCTTTAGAAATATTAGCTGGAGAGCAGAAAGCTAGAACTGTGGTGGGTGGGTAGGAAAATAAAGGAGTACGTTACCTTTCAAGAATAGATCAGGGACTTATTTGTCCTCCAAGTTACCAGTGTCTATAAATTTCAATGCATATGCCCTTTGAATCATCAATTTCACTTCTAAGGTTTTACCCAACAGACAACTGTACAAGCAAGCAAAGATATACATGAAGGGCATTCACTGCCGTTTTATTTCAAATAGCAAACTGCCAGTAGTTGTTTAAAATAGCAAAAGTAAATATGTATTCATGTGGAAAGATGGCCAGGATACAACAGTTACTGAAAAGTTAGAGACTAAGTATATATACTGTGATCAGTTAATCTTAACAAGATGTACCCATATGCTTGGATAAGCAGAATAGGAATTCATCAGAAGATGGGTCAAGGAGTAAAAGAGATGGCTTTCATATATTTCTGCACTATTTAAGTTTTTATGTGTCTACATTTCATTTCCAATAAAAATCCAGTATCCCCAATCTAAAATGATACCCTTGTACAAAAAGGAGACTGTTATCCTTAGAAAGGCCTCCTTACAAGGTCAACCTCCAGCTGGTGTCTGGAAACTTTGATTTCAGGAGAGCTGTCAGCATTCCCTAGTGAAACTGGCTCACTATCCCTAAAATGACTGTGTAAACAGTATGGCTAGTGTTGAATATCTGCTTTCCTCCTGAATGTCTAGAATTTTGGTTCGTGTGAGGTAGAGGGTGCCTATATAACTGATCCTGAACAAAAACCCAGGATACCCAGGCTTAGGCAACATTCCCTGGTAGATATTTTACAAGAACTTTTACACTTGTTTATGGGGGCAGGAGGAATTCAGCACACTTTGTGTGAATCCACTGGGAGAAGACAGTTGGAAGCTTGTGCCCAGATTCCTCCAGATGTGCTCCATGCACCTGTCCTTGACTTTTTGTATTTTACGTCCATTTGCTGCAGTAAATGATATCCTTGAGTATATATGCTGAGTTCTCCTAGCAAACTACAGAACCTGAGGATAGTCTTGAGGTCTCCCAACATATCTCATCCTTTTCCTTACCATCTTTCTCCTGACTTTCATGGCATTACCATAACTTGTACTTCATGGTAATGCGTATCTTTCTGCATTGTGTATATGTGTAATAACTGTATATCTTTTTCACTATAGCAAGATCCATGAGGTTAAGTATATGTGTGGCACCACACAAATATTCGGTAAAGGTTTTAAATAAAAATAAGGGAGAAAACAGCCACTAACAAAAGATGATCTTTCAGAGACTTTCTTGGCAATGTTCTTTTTTCAGGTTCTGGCACCCCTGAGAGTCATTCAAATTGAATAATCAACAGTGGCAGAACCAACTCTGTATCTAATGAGAACTCTCTTTTGTGTTCTCCTTGAAAGAAGAGACTGACACCTGAAAGGCAGAGGTTCCTAGGCCTGGGAACCGCTGTCAGATATACAGGAGGTCACTGGCTTCACAGCATTTCAGGACACCAGGGTAGGGACAGCGCTCCAGTGCTCACACTGTCCAATTATCTTCTTTCTCCGTGGCCTGAGGTTCCTCTTATCCCCTTCCTGCCACCACTCTTGTGAAAAAAGGTAAAACTCTTGTGTAACTATCATAGACTGGAGATTTAGAAATTTGAGGAGCTGAGAGGTTAATCTTGTGTTGAACTCTAAAATCTGTCACAGCAGACAGATGGAGTCACCTTCACCCACAGCCAGTTGTTCCAGTGACCTGTTCACTGACATTCCAGATATCCAGAGGTGACGAGGAGGAGGAGTCTGCCCTGGGTAGTCTGCATGCTGCTACCAACTTAAATCCTCCCTACATCCTCAGGCTCCAGGGCCATGTGACATAACAAGGTTTGCTAGGCTTTCTGTCCTTGGGTCCATTTTACTAGGTATATTTTCTCCATTCTATCATCTTATCCTATTGCATTCATCTAAAGCTTATCACAAAGAGAAATTCATCTGTCATTTTCACAGTGTTATCAGGCTCTTGCAGTGAATTCAGTGCCACATGGACTATGCGGAAAGCTTCCTAAACCCTGTCAACTTCTTTCCTGGGTTTCCTCTGAAGGAAAGCAGCATCTGCACTGTGTGGAATGCCAGTATGCGGGGCTCCACAGCTGTCTTCATGATTCCTCTCTCTTTGAGGTACCAGTGCACACCTTTTTCAGGCCACAAGAACGTAGCAACTACAGTACAAGGCAGACTGCCTTGTTCATTTTTGAATGAGAACAGGTGGGTCAACAAGGTGTCTCACAAGCAGGTGCTTTAACAAATGTATATGGGAGTGGGTACCCTGTTTCCTTTCCCTGTAGAATGGATGTACACAGTATGTGCTCTTTGTGCTATGCTCATGAGGGAAACCGCTAAAGCTGGACATAATGGAAAGATTCCAAAGTACATTTAGATGTCCCTTAACTCTCACCTTCGATTCCGTTAGATTTTGGCTATAGAGGGGTTCTGCAGACTGACTTCTAACAGAAACTGAGTGCATGACTACCAACATACAAAGGAAGGAGATGGCAGACAGGTAACTGAACACACACCAGCACCATTTTCACTGTCACACTCACCACTATCCCTCCTCCTGATTGTAACCTCTCACCCCTCCCCTGTGGCCTTCCAACAGCAGGCATCTTTCCCAGTCGTCTCTCCCTACCCACCCCCTTGCTTTCTTCCTCTCATCAGGCTATACTCAAATGTATTCAGACTGAAATAACTAATGAAGCCCTTCATCTTTGCCTTCCCTGTGTCTGAATTCCTACAGTCTACAGTGAGCCTGACACCAGCTCCCTCAACCCAGCTCTGGGTGGACGCCTTTGCTCTGCTCCCCATTCCCGATGCCCTTTACCTTGCTGGCCTTCAGGATGTTGATCTGCTCTTCATACACTGTGTCTCTGTTTTTCTCAAGAAAACCATCTGAAAGGTACTCCACCTGGGGCCACAGTAATGGAAGGAGAAACAGTGTTAGTGTTCAGCCTAACCAGGGACCTCCAGCAGTTTGAGTACTTGAATACAGTAATACCTTGGTTCATGAAGGCTTCTGTTTGCAAACACAATTCAGTTTGCCATCAAAAGTGTTCAGCAAAATTTTGCTTTCATTTAAAAATCCACATTGAATGATAAACATGACCACGGTCCTTTTCCCCACACAAACACAAACACAGTGATCTCCCCCAAAATTGTAAAACAAATTAAGTTTGTAAACCGAGGCACCACTGCAGTTTTATCTCATCCATGTGGAATTTTCTAAAAAGAGCTCTGAGTAGATGGGAAACTATTTAAAATGCAAATTCAGGAAGCCCTTAGGACTGACAGGGAGAACTGAGCATTCACTTTGCAAGAGAAAATATTGTCTTACAAGGGAGCTCTCAAAATAAAAGGTTTTGTTAGGGCTCCACAGATGAGTTTCTCAGTCACACCCCAGACCCACCGGTCAGATCATTTTAACAGATCTCTAGTTAATTTACATGCACATCACAGTCTGAGAATTAAAAGGAAATCCAGGGCCGGGGATTTAGCTCAGTGGCGCAGCGCCTGCCCACCTGGCAAGCGTTAGGTCCTGCGTTTGATTCCCAGTACCCCCTAAAAAAAAAAGAAATCCACCTAGAAAAGTTATGTATCGATACCCATCACTGGGGGAGAAAGCGCCCTCTTAGCCCAGAAGCCTGAGTCTACTTCAGGCAGGGATAAGGCAGTACCAAGGCAGTAAGAGGACAGACACCTTATCTGCAAAGTGGACAACAATGAAGGATGTGCTGGACATGCGGGGCTTCTGGAAGTGCTGGCTGCTTGAGTGCCGGTCATATAGCTTCTGAACCCAGTTCTGGTCAGTTCCTTTGGGGACCTGCAGAACCACAAAATAAGGCAGAGTGCTTTGTGAAGAGGAAAAAGGAATCAAAGTGTCACAGTGGAGGGGTACGGTGGCTCTGTAGGGTGCAGTCACCTCAAAGCAGGACCTTCACTAGACTGTGGAAAGAATGACTCAACCATGATGTTTGGGGTCATGCACAGTTGGCCATCAACCCACCATGAGTGGGTTGTCACCCGCTGAAGTGTGCCGGCTCTCCAAGGGTCTGCTGCCTGGCAGAAGTAGGAAGTTCAAAGATGATGAGAGCAGAAGCTGAGGCCATGGGACCAGTCACACCCATGGATCCATCTGAATTACGTCTTCCCCGCAGCATCATGGACACACTCGACCCTCACCAGCACAGCACGCGCTCCCACCCTGCCTGCTCTGCAGGGGCCTGCTGCACGAAAACCCACCTCCTCCCCAGGCTCATCCACACCACCATCCAGGCTCAGCCCTATCATCCTTTTCTGAGAGGTCATTTCTGACCACTCTTGACCTTGAGTCTCCCTGTTCTGAAATTCCTCATTACTGAGTTTTTACACACACACACACAGAATTCACCACTGATTTCAGGGTATTTTAACTACACACAATAGGTCTCTTGGGTTCAAGGACAGACTACACCTTACTGCTTTGTTTCTTGCCACTCAAGGACCTAGAGTTGGGCTCTTGTCACACATTGGGTACCAAGTATCTAGAGGCTGATCCGCCTGGGACTAATATCTCTGCCTCCCCTCAAATGTAAATTCAGACTTAGAGCTTTCACTCCATTAAGACTTCCTAGGGGCGGCCCCTTTCAATGTCTCTATGGATGGCTTCAAAAGTGAGCAAGCACCTGGTTTCATTGAAAAGATAACAGAGTCAAGGTGACTACAGTTCAAACTGTCAAGGATACAGCAACTTGTCCAATGGCAAGTGCTCCCTCCTGCATCACCCTCCACATCCACTTGCCAGAATAGGTCCAGTTCTCAGTGAAGGGTCACTAATTAACTAACCCATCATTAATTTAGGTTGTATGTCTGGATCAAGCAAGGATGAAGGTGACCCTTTTGTAACCATTTAAAGTGGGTTTTGCTTAGTAAATGAATAAAATTTGTGTCAGAAAGAAAGTGCTTACATACTTGAGAACAAACTTCTTAAATCCTTTGTAAGCAAACAGATTTTTCCTAAGATTCAATGCGTATGGTATTGAATACACAACTAGTATTGAATACCCACCACTATGTGCTATAAGAAATTCAAGGAAAGAAAATGTTTTCTTGAGGGAGGCTATTAATTGTGTTGGGCAGACAATAAAATATATTTAATTCAGCATTTTCTATATATACACGGTTTTATATTTGTCTACAAGCATTCCATGTTTAGAACCACCAGGTATGGGGGAAGGAGGGGTCACCCTGGTGGGGCTCTCAGGACCAGTTAGGCCGAGGACAGGCGCAGGACAGACCTTGAGGGACTGGCCTAATTGGGGCAGGAGAATCATGAGAAGGCTCACCTAAGTAAATATTTAAATCTGCTGGTAACAAAAATCACATTGAAAATAAGATTGGACTTCTAAGAGAAGACCCCATATATGATCCTTCATATTCAGTAATTCATATTGGCAGGAATGAACTAGCAGAGGAGACCAACAGTCAAGGTCACGGTGTATACATATTTCTTAGCACGGATGCATCTCTCTTTTTCCTCCCCATCCCATCTCCAACTATAAATAAGGACCAGCAGAAATTTATACTGATTAAGATTCTCAGGGAATACTAATAGTGAATGTCCACAGTGCTTCAGGTTTGTCATGCAGTTTCCTACACATTTGAGATGTAGCAACTCATTTAATCCTCCTGTCAGTCACTTTAGAGCTGGGCAGTATGTTTGTACACAGAGAAGAGGAAATGGAGAGAGGTTAAGTAACTTGCCTATGATCACAGAGCTGGAAAGCAGGCTGGACCTAGGACATGTATTTTTTGCTACTATACAAACCTTGGGATCTTCAGCAGAAATTATTCTATCACAGAAGCTATAATCATTAGTCTGGGATGTCCCCTGGGGGCAAAGCCTGCCCCCCAACAAAACTGCAGACAGGAGACGTCTGCTAGGGACTTCACAGCCAGTTATTCAGCTCTGTTTCTTGTCCCGGTCCACCTGGACTACTGCCACCAGTGACTGCCTCTCCAGACACTGTCTAGTCCATCCCATATGTCTGTGGCCCCCTGATGCTTCCAACCTTTGCCAATTTCACATCACCACTGCACCAAAGCACCTCTGGTCCCCAGTTTCTGAGAGGTACTCTCTGCCCCCTCCTTGCTGTAACCAAAGCCCAGCTGGGCGCAGGACTATACAATCCAACAGCTCTCCAGGAGGAGGCAGCTACGTCCTCTGCACCCAGCAGCACCCAGTGCTGCTTTAGGGCTTTACTCTTCCGCCCTCACACCAATTCCTGCATGCTCAGCAGAACACCAATTCCTGCTGGGTCTGAGAGGACTTCTCCCTCCCTTCACGCAGGGGCTGGAGGAACTTACACAGAAACTCATCTTTCCTTCACTATTTTTCCTCTCCTTGCTGATCTAATGTCATGTAACTGTGTTGCTGTCAAAAAAATAAGACCAAGTCTCACCTTTCTGTAGATTAAGACAGGCTCCCAGCTCTAATCGGGAGTTGACCTCAAAGACTCCTCGATCTCATTTGTGCAATTGTGCACTCAGTTACTCACTCTCCCCTCACAGGGCAGCTCCTATCTTCCTCCAGCCACTGCAGGCTTCTGACCTGCCTCTGCTTGGCACACGCCTCATTTCCTCCTTCGTGGGAAAATGGAGGTTTTCAAGCAGGAAACCGCAAACTCCTGCTGTAACACCCACAGCTTATCTGCCTCCACGGCCACTCCTTTTGCTGCTCTTCCCCTGGGGAGAAGTGCGGTCCTCCAAGCCGGCATCCGACCCAGCCAGCTCTGCCTCCTGCTTCTCACAGCCAGGCTTACAGGAGGACAGTCAGACTTCGTATCTCCACGGCTTCACCTCCAATTACTGAAATTCCACCTCTGACCAGGCCACTCCCTTGGGACTTCTCTGCCCAACAGACTCTAAATGGCCTCTCCCATTGCTGAGCTCCTGGACGCCCAGTCCACTTCCTGCCTGCTCACTCCAGACTCTCCAGTCAGCTTAAGGAGATCTCCAGGGTCCCTGGAAGATACCACAACCCTTAATCTAAAAACAATAAACTCTCCTGGTGGCAGGATGGCCCCACTGTCTTCAGCCTCATGTCACTGGGAAGCCACAACAAGGTTAGGAATGTCCTACTACTCAGCTCTTCAGCTGGGTTCTGCGAAACAAAACAATCCACACAGGGCAGAGCCTGCTGTTCCTGACAAGCCTGTCTGTGAGGAGCCCCAACACTGAGGTCTCTCCAGCCTGTGGCAGTAATTCGTATTTTTACTCACTGTACTGTAACTGCTTTCAGGGATCAAGCCATCACCGCCAGAAGATTTCTGTTAAAATGCAAATATTCACCCAGCAGGAAGCATACACTGACCTCTCTTATTCTATAAACCTAGACTAACTCGTTCCCCTAAGAGGGAAGGGGCTGAGGTGTGAGGCCCTGGATGGCAGGATGAGGCACCAGAGTGACTACGGCTTAGGGGAGGGCAAGGACTGGAGAGTCCGTCTCCCCACACCTGCCAGCAGCCTCAGAGCACATCACAGACTAGAGAATTTAGGTAAGAGCAGCCTGGAAGTTGAAATTTCCTACAAACACCTCTTTGCTACCCCCCAGGATAGCTGAAGCACTGTGTAGTCTGCAGCTTGCTCAGGGTCTGACTATAAATGCTGGGGCTTTTCCACCGAAAGAAACCTGAGTGGTTTGATGTTGTGGTCCCTACACCTCCCCTGCAGTTCTGAGACCCACCACAGGCCCTGGGGAGAACCACCACCTCCCCCTCCCCCATGTGCTGCCTTTCGGTTCGCAGCCAGGCGGGTCCATGCTTCTAACTGAAACCCCAGCTCAGTGCCCTGCTCTCCAAAGCACATCTCCAGGAAGGGATTTTCCCACTGGCTGCTTTACACCACCAGTCCAAGCCTCTCTTGGGTTTGTGTCCTGTCACCTGGGAGGTCACAGACCTCAGTCCTGCACAGTGAGACCTCATTATTCTTTCTCATCCCACAGAAGATCTGAGAGACAAGAGGAAAGGGATGTGTCGGAGGCAGCTCTCACGGTTCAAAAGGCTTCATCCTGAGGGACTCTGCAACAGACAGCTGGAATTCTTCAACCTGTTCCGCTCAGGGTTACGGGTGCTTCCAGAAGGGCCCAGCAGGCTACCACCAACTCCATTTTTTAAAGTTAGATTGTTACACTGTAATTTTCCTACAGTAAAGTGCACCCCTTTAAAGGGATCAGTTGGATGACTTTTGACAAAGGTAATGACATCTATTGATTTAAAACCGTCCTGCTAGATGCTGCAAATTATACTCAGTCACTCTGACTTCCCAGAACAACGAAATCTGGTGCAAAAAGTTTCCACACTGTGGGCTTTTGTCTTGCTCCTTAGTTCAGCATTTGTCTCGCCTCCCAAGCCACACTTGTGGTCTTGGCCACCAGTGTGTTTCGATGTGTCACATTCACAACACTACCTGGCAGCTTGACATTTCCAGCCCCCACCAGCTCCATGAGCAGGAGAGCTCAACTTTGGACAAAACCAAGGAGCTCAGGGAGGGGGAATCACAGTGGCTGCATGTAGCTCAGTGTCAGTTTGAGTTGGTGCCCCTTTAAGTCACTCTGCACTCCGTGCCCCTCCCATTTCTGTTCACTGGTCCAAATAAAACCTTGCCCTTCTTCCCTTGAAAGTCAGGAGGGAGGTCAATTTCTCCTCTTCGGGGCTCTCCCTCAAGATGAAACACCCAGTATGTGCAAAACATATTTTTGGCATTTGAGGGATTACTGTGGCAGGAGTGAGAAATAGTTTTATTTTCCCATAGCTTGCTTTAAGTAAGATAGAGGCCCACATGGGTGCTCCAGGTGGTGTGTGTTCAGAAGGAAGAGAGAAGACAGGAGAGTCTTGGGCATCTCTTGGACTGGGACTATCTCAGGCTGCAAAGCTTAATGCTTTGGGGAGGTCACTTTCATAAGTGCCGAGCATGGCTTGTTTTGTGGGCCTTCCTGCTTGAGTCTGGCTTGTTTTCTCTACAACTACTGCTTCTGTGTGCTCTCACACCACTCCTGGAACATCTGTTCTGAGTCCAGCACTGGTCCAGGGCTTCCCTCAGGGGCTGAGGCCCAGCTAACTCCACCCTGTGCACTGGGATTCGTTCCCATTGCTGCAATTTGACATTCTTGTGAGATGTTCCTTTGGGTGCTGGCACCTCTCAGCTCCTCAGAAGACAAGGCAAAACAAATCTACCAGTAGCCCTACTTTGCTGCCAAGGGCAGGTAAATCACTGGGCAAAACAAATCTACCAGTAGCCCTACTTTGCTGCCAAAGGCAGGTAAATCACTGCAAACCCATTAGGCAGCTGCTAGTCACAGAAGTGGTCTTCCTGAAGCACTGGGATATTTGGTGAGAGCCTGTAAATCAATGTCCCTTGGGGCCCTGGTTTAGAGTTAGTTAACTCTTCACCCCAGAACCTATACGGACAGACGGCCAGCCCCTCTGCATCCTCAGGGTTGTGCATGACCCTCACCAGCAAGGAGAGGAGTGAAAAGCCAGAATTTACTTTGAGCAAGGGCTGGAGAGCTACACTGGCCCAACACCCTAGAGGCCCAGGCTAAATACAGGACCAGGGATTGAGGGAGGCTGTGGAGCCGGAGAAGATGGTCACTGACAGGAACCCCAAAAGAGACTGAGCGGGTATGATCTTGGCTGAGCTTGGGAGGAAGGGTGTTGGCTGTGTACCAGGAAAGTGAGGAGTTGACAGCAGGAGGGAGAATGGAGGGCTTGTGCTGTGATGTCAGTAGTTTAGCCAGCGCCACTCAATCTGGAGACAATTATTTTACCTTGACATCAACCTCACAGATTGGGCAAGCCTAGACAAACACCCGGCAAAGCAAAGGCAAAACAGGGGCTGGAGATTTAGCTCTGCGGCACAGCACCTGCTTAGCAAGTGCAAGGTCGTGAGTTCGATTCCTGGTACCAGAAAAAAAACAAACAAACAAAAAAGCAAAGGCAAAACGAATACATGACATGACAAACACCTGACACTGAAATTACTCCTGCTTAAACACTGACTTTGAAGATAATGCTTCTGTCTCTAAAGAGATATTGACACATTAGGAGGTAAAAATGTGCCAGCTGTAGGATTCAGTGTATTTTCACTTTGTTGCCTATCGTTTTAATCCTTCCCTTTCATTTCAAACTCAATGAAAAAAGGAGAAACTCCCTAACCACTGAGCCACATCCCTCAAGGTGTAGGAGAAAATGTCAACGCAAAGGGGCTCATCCCTTTCAATACAAAGATCCATGTAGCTTCTAGAACATTTTATTGGTTTCTATCATTGGAGGAATGAACTGTTTACCCCCTCAATCAAGCAAGCACAAAACTGGGAGAGAGTAAAGATCAAAGCCACTCCCATCAACCCATAAGGCAGGAAACCAGAAGCCAAAGAAGTTAAGCAGCGATACTGGGAAGTTCTGCAGTAATAACCTCACCACCTCCCAGCGCCAAAGGACTGAGAACTGAGCCAAACAGATACCAACATTTCACTCTTAATTAACTGGAAAGGTAGGATCTTGGGACAGACACAAACCAATAACCTCCTACATGCAGAAGACACCCCTGAAGAACAAACCCTGCCTAGAGAGGCCTTGATACTAGTGATAGAGCTACCTACTACAAAAACTTACAAGGATCAACACAGAAAAGAAAACAAAAACATTTGAAATAGAAAATGACCAGACGCAGAAGCAAAATGCAACCTCAGACACCCAGGCCATCCAGAACAAGTCCAGGAGACAACAAGATAGAGGAAAATGGAAGACACACACCTGACATTTCTGAAATGATAGCAATCAAAGTAAAGAAACAAATTCATGAGCTATAGAGGAAATCAGATCAGAAATAATCTCTCAGGTTAAAAAAGAAAAAGAAGTTAAATGACTGATAAAATCCAGTTCCTCACACCCTACACTTCCAAGGCTGCCAGGTGCTTTTCCTGTCATGCTGGGTAGAGTCCATGAAAGCCAGGCAGAGGGAAATCTGTGAATCTCACCTGCTACCATGCCATGCAACTCTACCACTCACAAACCATTTCACACTGCAAAAGTGATCCTGGGTTTTGAGTCCTCACTGGAGATACCTGTGTAGATGCTGATCCTCTTGGCACCTGGGACATTTGAGGCACCAAATCCATGCCACCATGTCATGCCAATCCCTAACAGCTGCTGCCTATTATATCATATGCCAAAAGAGGAATATATTTACCAGGACAACAACATTTGCCCATCATACTCAACGTATGCAGAATAGATAACAAAGCTTCCTCCACAACACCAAGGCCAGATAATCAGAGATCAAATCCCAGCTTTGAGATTTCATATGTTCCCTTGCATTACACAGCTGCCCATTGTCCCACAACTCGGGCCTAAAACTGAATCAACTCAATGACAGTATCACCAGTTTTACCTTACATTCTTCATCCAACAAGTCCAGGATACCCAGTTTAGCTTCTATGAGATCGATACAAGGTTGGTTATCATAGAAATCAATCAAGGTCCAAGGGATTTGCTCCTTCATATATTCTTCTTGCTCCAGTTTGAATACATGCTAGGAAAAGAAATAAAAGGTCAAGGCAAGTGAAATGTAGACAAACCCTGACTTCCATTTTCCCTGAATTCTCTTCTGGGACCTAGAGGATGATACACAGCTATTAGAAAAGGTTTGGACACTAAAGTATAGTCATGATTACAAAACAGAGGAGCTTGGTGAGTGATTTCTCCATCCCTATACAAACCTCTCCTTGGGTATGTTAATAATTCTGTGTTGCTATTGCCCAACCAATCATAAGAAGCCCCATACCTGGCCTGAAACTGCTTAAAAACCTTGAAAGCCCAGGCTCAGATGAGTTGGAAATCAAAGCCAGGGGATCACTTCCCTTCTCAGCACAGCTGCCCGAGTCCTATGACCTCACTAGCAGTAAAAAGCCAGTTCTGAAAGCTGGGGGCACCATGAGGAAACCCAAGGAAGGTCAGGGCAAAGCTGTAGCCCACTGACTTCAGGTAGAAGGTAGATGGCCCCAGCAGGGAATCACTCCAGGAAGTGTGAGCCCCCCCCCGCCCCCAGGATCATAAACCTGACATACCGAGTTGAACTGTTGCTGGAGCTTTTCATTAGCAAAGTTGATACAAAATTGCTCGAAGCTGTTTACCTCAAAGGTCTCAAACCTGAAGAACAGAAAGAAGCAAAGACAGAGCTAAGAGACACCTCCTTTTATGGAAGCAATCAATGGGACTTTCACAAAGCTACCCTCATCTTCTGCTCCAGGCCAGCTCTGCCTGAAACACACTCAGTTCCTCTGCTCCGCTCTTGTGCTCAGAGACCACTGTCACAGGTCAGCACCACAGACCTTCAGTAAATTAGCAAAATAAAATATAGCTATTTTGATAACTACAAAAAGAATTACAAGAAAGACAATTTAGGGACAGGAGAGAAGGTCAGCCATGATTCTTATGTCAACCATGAATTACATCTCAGTAATCTTCTCTAGAAGATCAAAAATTTTGAAAAAAATTACAATTACCTGCACAATTTTAGCTCTTTTTTAAAAATTTAACTTTCCATTACAAACAACTGCCCACACTATTCTTCAAAGGCATTTCGATATCAATGTCTGTCTTGCCAACCAACGTATGGATCAGGCTGTGATCAGAAACTTGGGATGTGCAGAGGTACCAGGTAAAGGGGACAGGTGGTGCTCAAGTTCAGCTGCCCACTCAGAAACCTGGGATACCTTATCCCAACTCACATAAAGGAATCTCCTGAGCTGCCACTGGTCCCATACAGATTTATCATAATTTAGTCAATCTATTACCAAAGGACACTTTCTTTTTCCAGTGTTAACTGCTATCAAAACTGACAATAGCATGTACAGTAACATCTTCAAATTCATGATTCTTTCCTAAGTGTGCTGTCCTAGGAGAATTACCACACCCAAGAATACTGTTTCTTAAAAGGCAGAAGCAAATTAACTTCCAGAAAGACGAAGTTATGTTATTATCTCACACTTAACACCCAATATATGAAAGAGCCTTATTCTCCTAACACTAGACAACAGTGTTTCAATCATCTTTAGAGTTTACACGTTAAGAGGCACGGATTTTAGTACATTTCAATCCATTTTTGACAAATATAGAGTAGAAGGCATATAGAGATACAGTTGCAGTAAAAGAACATTTTACAGGTAGAGAATGTTTTCATTCCTCTGAAAATTTCTCTTCTGATCCATCCAGGTCAACCTACCCTCCCCGCACTGGGAATACTGATGTATCAAAGCTCTGGTAAATACTGCACTTTAACTTTTAAAAATCTTGGTCATTTGGTATGTAAGAATGTATTTGGATTTCAATTTCTTTGATCCTTAATAGAGTTCAACATTTCTCTACGTACTAGTAATCTGTACCTTGTGAATTATCTGTGATCCTTGGTAAGTTTTGTATGGCTTGAGTTTTAGTATTATTTATTTGAGCTCTTCATACTTTATCTTATTAACACCTTCATCCACTGCGCAACTCAATGTCTGACATATGGGTCCATTGTTATGTGGAGAGGTGGGGTCCACAGAGAGCAAGGGAGCTGAGGATGAGGCTTGGTGCAGCAGAGGGAGGCAGGGGTCCTGCCCATGGGCCATATGACCTACACTATGGTGCCTGAATTTTACCCCAGGCAGTGGGAAAATTTGGAGGATTTCAGATTAAGAAATGACAATTAGATGTGTGCCCCAGAGACCAGCAGGAGAAACACTGATTTAGGGGATGGTGTATAGAACCAGAGGCAGGAAATAGAGTGTGGAGGAGGAAGCCAGACAAGATCCAGTCAAGGTCTGACTTAAGCCAGCTGAACAAGTAATAGAAAGGTTCTCAAGGCATTAAGGACAGTGCAGAGGAGAGAACTACAGATGACCAGCAGGATGTGCACGTAAGACTCATGCAGTGGACGGATGTGGTACCACTCACCAAGCTGGCCACTTAAGCATTGGCAGCTTTAGCTACAAGTGAGTGGGATTCACCATGCACACTCAACAGCGGCAGCAAGCTGCGTTTGGTGGGAAGAATGGGGCAGAAATTAGCAAAGGAGAGGCATGTTTTTCTAGTTCACACAATAGGCTGAGAACCAGCAGTGGCCCTGTTCAAAAAGCATCCAGACAGCTAAAGTCCCAATGTCTTATGAGTTTTCATTTAATGCTCACAACCACTAAGAGTGGGGTCTATCATATGTTAGTTCCATCCTACAGTTAAGAAAACTGAGGCAGGAGGAGATTAAATGACCTGCCCAAAGTTAGAGAGTCAGTAGGCAGAAGGACAGTATTTGAAATCAGACAGTCTGATTTGAGACCACAGTCTTAATTGAGAGTGGTATCAATTCTCATAAAAAATTAAGATGACTTGGAAGGACTGGATAAAGAGGGTTAGTTCTCAGAAGGGGATGGGCTGAGACTTGGGGAATGGAAGAGGCAGTGGCACTACCACCAGGGGACCAGGGGCTGAGGACCAGGGGCTGAGGACCAGGCTTCATCCAGCCTTCTCCATCATTTTTGCGTCCACTCTTTCCTACTCAGTATTATGAACAGCTGATTTTCTGTCTTATATAAAGTGTCATGCAAGCCCTTCCAAGTACTGCCCTTCCTAAGTACCACTCTCAGAAATGTTAGCCCTGCCCCGGTGAGGGTTGGGTACGGTGGCAGTGGAGTAACAGCACATTGTACAGAGGGACCACCAAAAACGGACGCATCGGATACCCAACAGGGCCGAGTCAGTGCCTGCAAAACATCAGGTTTCTCCACATCCACTTCCCCACCAAGGTGTAAGCCATAGAAAGTGGGAAATCTTGAGATCAAAGGAGTCAACTGTTTGGACACAACCGCATCAAAGTACAGCCTTTGGCCATGTCCACGTGGGAGGAATAATTCTAGGTTAATAAAACAAGATCAAAGTTGCAAATCCATGCTAGGATAAAGGAGGTCATCCATGTGCAGTCAAGGCCAGGCAGAAGAAAGGGACTGTGTGGACCAGTTATTATCCTGGAGTGTAGCCCTGCCAGCCTGGATGACAGTCCTGCAGACTGAGTTATGTCACTTAGGACCACATTCCCTCCCCTCTTCTGGAGAAGTTGGTGATAACAGCCAAGCTCAGAGAAAATTTAATTAATAAAGCCTACAAGGAAGATAAAAAGAAAGCACCCCAGCAATTGGCCAGATAATAGCAACTGGATATGCTGGCAGAGCTCACACTGAGCTCCACAGATAGAGGATTTAAGTATCTTTCACTTGTCATTTTTTAAAGGTTTACATTGGTAGCACTTCAGAAAGAACATTCTCATTAATTTGAGATAGCTGAAATTAGCTCATAATTTCCCTATTTCTAAGATATTATCTGGTAACAATTCCTCTGCCACCTAATATAATTACTGTAATGCCAAGGGCCAGAGATGAATGAGGGGGCCGGTTAGCTTAGAAAATGACTAACCTCGGCATGCCAGAGTCAGGGAGATAGGGCCACTTCTCTTTTACAATGGAGTTATATTTGTAGTAATTCTTCCCATCAATAGAGATGACTTTTAGAAATAAACACAATAGGTCAATTTATAGTTCAAAGCATTAAACTGTTAAAAGGAAATTTATATACTAGAGAGAAATGGATTTCTCCCATAAAATCAATGCTGAGAACATTCAGACCAAAACCCCTGGGTGGGAGGAAGGTCAGGACTGAGTAAGGTGGAGGCACAGTCTCATCTGCACTCCTAGTGGCACAATGGTCAACCTTACTTCAATTTCCACCTATGTTCAAAATGTCAGTTGAAAAGTATACAATTTCTGTCATTCTACTCCAATTTCAAGGTGTAGTAAGGACCACAAATGCCTCTAAAAATAAGGCAGCAACTGTTGCAGAGTGAAATGGCAATAAAAAAGACATCAAGCAATTATTCTGAGTTAATTATTCAACTCCATTAACCTCTCACTCTACAAGCTAGGGAGAGCAGAGGGTCAATGTGCTGCTTCACAGCTGGGCAACAGTTCCGGCTCTCCTAGCTCAGCCTACAGAGATCACACTCAGGCAGTTTACCTTTGGGTTTCCTATATAGGAGGCATTCCAGGGAAGGATTAAAAGTCATACAGGAAAAATAATGTGAGGAAATTTGTTTCAGATGAGCCTTTTAAACAGGGCCAGACAAGTGATCCAAACATCCTTTCAAGGTCTGCATCCATCCTGAAGTTGATGAAATCTCACAAGGGCATCTTGGGTTGTGTTAGGGTAATGCTCTGACCTCCCTACTAAGCAATCTTGAGCTGCCATCTGCTTCAAGTCCTTCAAATGGCAGGACTTGAATTCTGTCCTTGTGCATTTCTCTGCACCTAGATCCATCCCCCACCCAACTTACCCTTCAGAGAGAACACAGCCCAAGGCACAGCTCATCCCCAAGGCAAAGAGCACTTATTCTTCTTGAGGACCTCAGTCCACTCAATTTGGCATATCGACCAAGTCCTGCTCCCCTCCATGCCTGGAACCACGGTTTGGGACAGGAAAATGCTCACAACATGGTAATGCTCTCCAACTCATCAGACAACTGTCACAACAGCTGTGAGAGTTGCAAGGAAGTGCAAGTCACAGTTGCTGCCTGAAAGAGCTACCAGGAAGATGATGAAAAGCTGACATAAAAATCTCTCCATGGGGTATAAAGTTTATGTGCACTAGGTTTTTAAAGGAGAGTTTAGTCATGGAGGGGGGTACTTGCATGGACAGAGAGAGAATGGGACTTCATCTGAACCAAAACAAGTGGGAGGACCACACTCCAAAGGACTGGCTTCCCTAGAGAAACTCCAGAAGGTTGGATTTGGCTTTGGAGCCCTGGGAGTTATACTGCTTTCCTGGGAAGCTGCAAAGTCCAAGGTGAACCTGATAGCTTCAAATGATCTGGTAGGAGTGAGAACACTGTGGTCAGCTGTGCACATCCACCCCAAAAAAGACATGTTCAGGGATCCAGGGCCACCCAGGACAAGGCCACTGTTTACAGGCTAGGATAAATACAATTCCTGCATATCTCCCTGTCCATTCTTCATGGGGATCTTTTTATACTGGACTCAAAGAAGTTCAGTAGTTCTCTCTTAAAGGCTATACTGGGTCTGTAAAATTATCTGTACACTGATTCTGCAGAGTGAGGCCGAACAAAT